AATAATATATTTGATATATAATAATTAATACTAATGAATAATTTGCAAATAAAATTAACTAACAATTTGAAATTAATATTAATTAATAATCAATATTTATTAATAATTAAAACAGACAATTAATATTAATTAGGAGTATTATTGGAAGGAAATGACTAAAAGCCTCTGGAGCTTATTATCTAATTAACGTTTCAGTAAGATAACTTATAAACTATTTTTATCCATCCAAACGAGGTTTTAAAATAAACTCAAAAAATAAGTTATTTATGTTTATCAAAGGTTATCTCAAAGTAAATTACAATTCTCTCCTTGTGATTTAAAAATTACGTTTATAATCATTATGGTGTTTTATTTCATTTTTGGTCCCTGGCTATATGCACCACGAAAATTACAAATCCATAGAAATTATCGTATAATAAACTAAATCCTTTTCTATCGTATTTTAGAAAATGACTAAGGGGTTATTTCTTTCTCTTAATAGTTCCATTAAGAGGTAGCCTCTGAACCGTTAAGAGGTAAATCTTGTTTGACAAAAAAAAAAGTCTATCTCTTAATGATTCTAAAACCCTCTGAATGATTTTGTATCATGTGCCCTCCTTAACCATTCAACGCCCTAATTTCATTATAAGCAATTGTTAGTCCTGAAGGGGATGGCAATAAACAGAGAGTAATAGTAGAAAGGGGGGAGGGGTTGAATACAATTACACAGACTTTTTTCAACATTATAATTCTTACTGATTTATATCAAGAGTTAACACACACATAAATACAAAAGATTGTTGCGGAAGATAGGAAAGGAAAACCTAACCTAAACAATCTTACAAGGAGAAGAACTTTCAAGAACAACACAAAGAGTTCTTGAAAGGAAATGAAGAACACTAAGATTTTCTTCGCACACAGGAGAGCAAGGGAGTAGAAGAGAATAGCCGATTGCTTTTAGAATTCACTAAGTAATCTTTTCAAAAGCCAGTTTTGTGCATCGGGGATGCACACTGCCTTTTATACTACCTTCAACATTTAATGCATAGGGACACTTGTCACCTGAGGATAAGAAGGCAGGGGTTGACTTGACCATTGTTGATATCTCATTTTCATCGTACACAGCGTGCATACGATACTGTTCATACAGAGACAAACTTTTGCAGAGATATGGTTAGTCTGTAGGAAGATCTTCTTTGGATGGATTAGTAGCTTCAAGCAGCTAATCACAAATCTTTGGTCCATGAAGATTTTCAATCTTCGATCCATGAAGACTTTTCAATCTTCGGTCCATGATCTTCAATCTTGAGTCCATGAAGATTTTTAATCTTCGGTCTATGAAGATCTTCCTTCAATCGGCTTGGAGCTTCAAAATATTTTCAATATGCATTTCAGCTACTTTAGAGTCTTAGTGTGTATATTAGACAGTTGATCCACAACACCGNTATTAGACAGTTGATCCACAACACCGTATCGGTGACCTTCTGTCTTCACATCGGTTAGTCTTCGATTTTGCCAATGGTTTAAGTATGTACCAAGACACCAATATACAAAGAACCAATAACTACTAAGTGTTGCTAAGGTAGAGGAACAGATCAGCGGGTCATCACCAAATCAATAGGTGAGCCAACAATCTCCCCCTATTTGATGATGACACAAACACTTAGAAAGAAATAAATACAAGAAACACAAACTCTAAAATTCTTTGAGAAGAAGAACTTATAAATTCTGTGACCCATGTACTGATGTACATATTCTTTTTGGGTTTTTTTTCTTTTCTTTTTGATTTTTTTGATTTTCTTTTGGTTTTTTTTAAATTTTTTATTTTATTTTTTTAACTGTAAATATATATACAAAACAAATAAAGAATGAAAAATTTGAAGTAAATACTGAAAAATCAAATACATCTATACTAGACAATGAATTAACTACTTACAGTGAAGAAGATAGTTCAAGAAGAAGAAGTCACATAGAAAAGCTAGCAGTCATCATCTACTTCCATAACATATGTATCAGCCACTTCCTTGATGGATTGAGAGACAGAAGCAGATTTAGAAGAGCCAGCTTTACTCAACAGTTGCTTGAGAAAGGAGAGTTATAGAGGGGAAGACAGCTTGTAATGCATCTTGATCATTTGTAACTTTTTGAGAAGGCGATACAGATGACTCAAGATAAATTCCTTGTACATACTTCTGCTTTTATTAAGAAACTTGATGATCTCCATCCATTCGAAGATTGGCCTCGTTAGGCAATATGAGCTCTTTGTGCATGGGAAAGGTGAACCTCTCACTGAGTACTACAACAGGTTTAACAACCTTCTTAATGATCTGAAGTTTCATGGCAGAATCTATGAAAATGAAGAAGTCATGTGCAAGTTCATGGACTGTTTACCAGACTTCGGGGAAAACATATGTACTTGTATCAAGACAAGTAAAGATCTTGAAAATATGCCTCTTACTGCTCTTTATGGAACTCTCCATAACTATGAGCAAACCAAGCTTCTGAAAAAGGCATTATTGAAGGATCCCAGAACCTCTTCTTCTGTTGCCCTTCTCTGCAGTGATACGAAGAAGCCAGTCAGTGAACCTCATATTACTTATCTGACTGAGTCTGAAGAATATGCTGTCAAAAAAGAAGAACTTGATGAAAGTCATGTTGATGATGCTGATGATGAGGGTGATGAACCCTCAGTTAATGACTTAGCTGACAACATGGCCATGATGGCTACCAACTTCAAAAGGTATGCTAAAAAGGGCACTTCTAACTTCTCTCCCAGATCTAATCTGATTCTACTGGAAGGTTCATCATCAAAGATCCTTCTCAGTACAATGAAGATGACAAACGAAAAGTTTCCTTGGATACCAAGGTAAGAGCTATCATCGCGCTCTCTTTTCCTGATGATGTATTCCACTCCTTAGTAAACCTCTAACTGCAAAGGACATGTGGAACACTCTATGTGTTCTGTATGAAGGAACCATCGAAGTAAAGAAAAGCAAGGAAGATCTTCTTTGGATGGATTAGTAGCTTCAAGCAGCTACTCACAAATCTTCGGTCCATGAGGATTTTCAATCTTCGGTCATGAAGATCTTCAATCTTCGGTCATGAAGATCTTCAATCTTGGGTCCATGAAGAATTTTCAATCTTCGGTCCATGATCTTCAATCTTGAGTCCATGAAGATTTTTATTCTTCGGTCTAGGAAGATCTTCCTTCAATTGGCTTGTAGCTTCAAAATATTTTTAATATGCATTTCAGCTACTTTAGAGTCTTGATGTGTATATTAGACAGTGATCCACAACACCGTATCGGTGACCTTCTGTCTTCACATCGGCTAGTCTTCGATTTTGCCAATGGCTAAGTATGTACCAAGACACCAATATACA